AGAGAGAGAGAGAGAGAGAGAGAGAGAGAGAGAGAGAGAGAGAGAGAGAGAGTGCGCGAGAGACAGAGCAGAGAGCTGCTGCAGCATTCACTGAAGGGACAATTCGTCTGATAGAACAGATGAAAACGTGTTGTACTCATTTCCTACAGGGATGCAAGGCGTTACACATTGAACAGGGGGAGAAGGAGGAGAGCAAAAGAATGAGGGTAATGAATGGGTAAGAAGGCCAAAAGTACTCAGGATGATGACAGAGTGGGTCGACCAAAATGCGCATTTGCTTGTGTGAAGTATATATACTCAGAACCGTTTCCTCTCCCCCACCCCCCCCCTTTAAAAAAAAAAAAAAAAAAAAAAAAAAAAAAAAAAAAAAAAAAAAAAAAAAAAAAAAAGTGCTCCATTCACATCGGCATTGACAAACCCACACATGAACAGAGCCTTGCATCGCAAGACTATCGAGGAGCCGGCCTTCTCCTCGGCCGAGGAGTCTCTCTTCTCACGAACATCTTCTCCAGATCGTTGAGTGGCCGATGTGTTCCGTCCGGCTCGGATACAAAGCGCTTCCCTCCTCCCTTTCCTCTCTTCGCATTCTTGCTGATGTCCTCGATAACGTAGCTCCATCCTTCTTTCGGCCGCTTGCGATCCGCTTTCTTCACTTTTATCGTTCCGTCCATCTGTTTCTTATTGAACTCCATCCGTCGTTCGAACTCAGCGACCAGCATCTTCTCCTCGCGGGAGGACAACTCCTCCACAGTTGGCAATTTGTTTTGTTTGACGTCAGTTTCCCCCCCCCAGTCATCCTCGACTACCTCAAACTTGGGCTCCGTGTACATGACTTTGACATGGCGCTCGCCATCAGCCTTCGTGTAAGAGCCGTGGATCTTCTCAAACGCTTTCTCAATCTCACCGTCCAAACGTTCGCCCGCCTCTTCCTCCATCTTCTTCTGAATGTCCTTCAGCCAAAGGATGGCATGCACTCTCTGCTTTCTTATCCGGTACTCAGCTGCAAGACGGTCAACGGTCCATTCGTCTGGGCTCTGTTGGTGCAAGAACCAGATGTTCTCTTTGGATGCGTCCGAAAGCCGCGATGCTTTGCGATCAGGTGCCACACCTGCAAAATTATAGATCATCGGACTGGACCTGATATCAACATCACTGACCTCGCGCTCAGACATTCGTGTAGGGATAGCTGCTGCTGCTGCTGCTGCTTCTGCTGCTGCTGCTTCTGCTGCTGCTGCTTCTGCTTCTGCTTCTGCTGCTGCTGGTGGTGCTCCTGCAGTTGCTTGTGTGGTACCTTCTGAAGCAGCTGGTGCTTGATCTGAATCTGGCTTCTCTGCGGCTTTCAGCACGATGGATGGGACCGGGCGAGAGTGGAATGACCGCGACCTGAGCGAATGACAAGGATTATGAATGCGATCCGCGATAAGAGCAAAATTCCTCCTCCACAACCGTTCTGAGACGGGACCACCATCAGCAGTTCTGTCGTTGACACAGATGCTGGACGATGGCGGAGGAAGCGCCTCCCGGTCTTGCTCCAGAGCAAGCCATGCCCGAGGGTTATATCTCAGGTCGGCTTTGACGTCCGCTGCCATTGCCTCAACCGAGCGTCTTAAACTGATGGGCACTATGTGCCGTCGGATCAGACGGGAGTGCACAGAGGCGGAGGCGTCGTTACCACCACCACCACGTGCTGATGGTGGTGGTCCCGCCTCAGTGGCAATGTGCTGTTGAGAAGAAGCGGTGCTCGTCTCCCAGGTGCTGTGATTGCTATGGCAGCCAGCTGCCAGCGGCCTCGATTCAAAAGACCTGCTCCAGGCCCATAAACCACTTGTCGATCCCGATCCCATCGACGCTGACAGCATGCCATTCTTCCCTAGGCTCACCCCTCTGATCCGACGCAGCTCATGCAGACAGCATTCTCCAAAACGATCACGGGAAAGGTTACCTCCTGACGTGGCAGCTAACATGGACGCTGACCTGGAGCCTGACCTTGCCAACGTGCGCAGCTGGCCCGCCCATGGTGCCATACTCTATTATTGCTGCAACCAAGCAACCAGTCTTGCTCCTTGTCACTTCTTCTTCTTCTTCTTCTTCTTCTTCTTCTTCTTCTTCTTCTTCTTCTTCTCCTGATGATTCTGGTTCTGTTTCTGCTTCTTCTTCTTCTTCTTCTTCTTCTTCTTCTTTATTCTTATCCTGATGATTCTGGTTCTGTTTCTGCTTCTTCTTCTTCTTCTTCTTCTTCTTCTTCTTCTTCGTCTTCGTCTTCTTCTTCTTCTTCTTCTGCTTCTGCTTCTGCTTCTGCTTCTTCTTCTTCGTCGTCGTCGTCGTCGCCGACGCCGCCTCCTTCTGCTTCTACCGCTGCTGCTGCTTCTGCTTCTTTCTCCTCTTCCGGATCTGCGAGTGAAAGGAGATGACCTTTTTGACTGCGGCTGCTTTTACTTCTCTGCAATCATGATATGCCAGCTTTCTGTTGCTGCGCTGCTTCATTTCCTGATGAGGATGGCCGCCCGTACTCCATTTCAGCTTTCTGCCAAACTGCTATGGAAGTTAGCGCAAATTAATGTTTTTTTTCTGTGGCCAAGGGGAACAGAAGCGTGAGTCTGTGGTGGGACCGGGGGGGG